AAAAAAAAAAGGTACTAAGAACTTGATCATCTGCAGAGCTGTGAATGGTAGTACAGTAAACATCATCCTACAAAGGGCTGCTATAAGCAAAAAAAAAAGTAAAATACTGATAATTCAAGGACGAAGGATGTCACTTCATTTCTGAATCTATAAAATGATAGAATTTAATTTCTAAAATAATTTCCAGCTATATTTCTAATTAGGAGACCTCTATAAGAACTAATATCTATAAACAAAACAATGGATAAAAATAAATGAAAATATATAAAGGAGACCTCTTTATTATAGTACTTGGAAAGTCATAGAATCTGATTTTTTAAATTCTGTTAACCCATGCTGAGTGCCCTTTGGGATAAGAGGAAGAACTCCAACAAAGAATATGAATACCTTAACTTGCTTTTCCTTCTTTTTTCGCACATCTTCCCATTCATTAACGATTCTTCCCCAAAGTATCCAAGAATCTTCTTCAAGGTGGCTGAGATTGCTCGAGGCTGATGAGCTTGATACAAGGGAGGAACCACTGTTTCTTCTTGACCCATTTACAGATCTTAAAGACTTACTGTCCGTCTCTAACAATCTAAAACATAATTAAAAATTGCTCAAGAGCTAATCTCACAGTGAGACTAGATGAAGTAATGATACTTACAGCTTTATTACAGCAATTTAGCCATAGGTGTAAAATATGCATAATTTCAACAATGCTTGGTAAGCATCTATAAAATTACTGCTGCATTTTTTTTATCTAAGCACACCAATTTCAAATTTTGAAATTGCAAATTACGTTGAATATTTTAGTGCTATTAGACCAATCATGATTTTCCTTCGTCTCCACTAAAAATTCAAGTTAGGAGAAATCTGGTGAGAAAAGTAGTTGGGAAGGCTTCAGGAAAAAGAAAACTGTACTTGGAAGAAGTATAAATTCTACGGCAGAACAAGTCCTATCACGTTTACAATGTGTTCAGGACTAAAAAAGTAAGGCAGAGCTATTCTAATTAAATAAATCCCTTATCTTTTTTCATTTTACTTCACTCATTTGCCCGAAATGAAAAGTGTTTTGTTTGGCCCATGCAGTGTTTGTGTAAAAAAACTGAACAATTACTAATATTAAAATAGGAAAATTTCATTTATTTGTTTATATATGCATACATTTACATTTATTTGCAATTCTGGATTCTCTTGTAAAATAAAAAGATAGAGCAAACCAGGCCCATATTCCTGCACGGGAACAATGGTGTAGCTGAACAGAAGCTTTTGAATCTACTCAATCTCCATAATCTCTACTCTCTCTCAAAAACTCAGGCCAACTAACAGCTGTTATTCACTAGTGGGCCTGCACTGTTAAATTCGGACCTCTCCACTCATAAGGTCCTGTTGGCTTTGAGTTTGCAACCCTGTTTTAGGCCTCTTCCTTATCTGTGGGAAAGATGGGTTAGGATAATTTTAGAGACCCATTCCAAGACTCACCACAACATCAAATCTATTATTTCTTTCACATACACAAGGCTAGAAAGATTGGAAAATGTGACTCTGTCATTATAAAGATATAAATTATGTCATTTAAATAAGGGTCCTAAAACTTCTATTCGTGTATTTAACATGGCTACTACTTATTTCCAGTAACTCCTTCAAAAAGTGATGTGCTTAGGCTACAAGAAATGCTCCCAACACTAATTTATGATATATTAAAAACTAATAAAGAAAAAAAGCCATCTGAGTCAAATCCTACTTAGCAGATTACAGAAAAAAATACCCTTTGTGAGCCAGATTTTTATCACTAAAAACATTTAGCTCAGTGCAAAGAAGATTAAATACTGACTAAACTGAAATAAAATCAAAACTGCATAACAAAAAACCTTCAAATCCTAGATATGTTATATGCAATAACACAATAATATAAATTGAACAATTACTATCCTTATTCATGGGATAATTTAATATGTTTTCATGGCAAAAATAATTTAAGTAAAATGACCCAAATATTGCTAGAAACAAAAATTTACAAAGCAGCCAAATTAAGGATGAACTATTGCCATAAATATTCTTTATTAGAAAAGTATAATTAATGATGATGTTTTACTTTAAGTACTTTTCCCCATATATTATTTCAGTAAATCCATAATGTATCTTATAGAAAAGTTAGTGCACATATGTAAGTAATTTTATGTATGATTCTAAACCCTAAGAATTCTAAATGGAATAGAGAAACAAACTTTACTAAAAAATTGAACCTACGTTCTTCATTTCACTTAATTATTCATTGAATGCTTGCTATGTGCCAAATAATTAAATTGCATCACTATCATCAACAGAGAGACATGCAGTTAAATAAAATACAATGATATTTCCTAAGCTAAACATAAGTGTGAGATATAATGGACGTACAGATGAAAAAATGCCTAGAGAGAAGGCATTTAGAGTCAGGAAGGTCTCAGACTGCCAAATTGTAACTTTCAGGATAATCAGGAAATGCCAAGTGAATTCATGGATTGGTTAGAGAAAAGGGTTAGCAGTTCACCTTCAGAGGAAATTGAAATAATATATACAAATATACAAAACTGTGAGAAATATTTACAAATGAAATAGTCCAACTAAAGACATCACATTATTTAAAGATATTGTCCCTTCAGCAAGAAAGCAAAAAACGAACAATAACAAAAAAGTTACTGTCCCTGNAAGTGTGATGGCCCCTTAGGCTTCCTAGAGAGCTAGGTCAGCTGCTATAAGATTCCCTCAAGTAGGGAAAAACTGCTCTCTAGATGCTCAATAGAGATAACTACTAAACAGTAATTTTGGAGCCAATATGAAAGCAAAAGGAATAGAATTGTGACAAAAATCACTGGATTGATAATAGGGATGTTTGAGGTCAACAGTGAAAGGCCTACCAATCTAACCAATTACAAATTAGGAAAATCACAATTTTCTTAAAGAACTATACCTCAACATTAACATATCTAGGATTTTAAAAAGTTATAACTTAATGTCACCTAGAAATGGACAAGTATCCTGCAACAACTGGGAACAGTTCTTATGTTACAACACAATGTAAAAATCAGTCATTTTTATTATAAAACAGTATCTCTGATATCAGGTTTTTGCCACTCAGAAAAGAAGCATGTATATATTCCTGACAGTTACAGAGCTTTAAAACTTGGTGGAACCACTGGGAAATTGAAGCAAATCATCAGGGAAACAGTTTGCTTTTATCTACCATGACATGTGATCTTGGGCAAGTCACTGAACTTTTATTGCAGTCTACTATATTGCCAAACACCATGCTAGGCTTTTACATATATTATCTCATATAACCCTCACCATGAACCTGAAAGTGAATAGTATTACCTAATTAAGGCCCATAGAGAGAGGTTAAATAATCTAACCCTAGTTCATAGAACTCAGTGCAGAGCTAAGATGCAAAAACCAGCCTGTATGATTCAAATCAAATTATCGCCAAGGTTTCTTTTCAGGTGATATTTTAGTTTGAGACTAAATATAGAGCATGATGGACTTTGAAAACAAATTTTAACAAGGCTGAAGAGATAACACTATATGCCATTTCCCTTCAAAGCTATGATTGTCCTGTCTCTGATATGTGAAAACATCCTATTCAAACCCACTCCAAAATAAGTCACTGCCAATGAACATACATATTGTATCCCTGGGACAGTAAAAGTGACTGAGTACCACTATTTCAGTGTCCAGAACAAGCCCTCAGCTTGTCACCATGACAAACAAAATTCCTGTATAAATTTCCAAAGACACTCTACAACATTAATAAGATTTTATACCAACACTTTAATCACGTCCTCCTTGGTTGGGAAATAATTACTCATTAAATATTGACATATAAATTAAGATTTAAAAGTAGTTACAGGCTTTAGAAAATATTATGGTCCAAATGTAGACACCAAGAAGCTGAAATTTCATTTAGCAGCAGGATATTATTGTATATTATTTTCAACACTTTTAATCTTTTAAAGTGCAAACTTTAAATATATTTAAATATTTCTATTTAAATTTTGTCTAGACAAAAATATCTAATATCCATTTATATTTAATAAAAACAAGGACGTTTTTTAAATTCTCCAGCCCAAATTTAATAAGGAAGCTAATTGGACATTTGACCCTAACTTACCTGCATAAGCAACAATCCAACTATGAAAGCACTTCCTTGACAGTAACCAACCTCACGATCCACTAAAGAATATGCCTAAAAAGTAAAAAATATTGTTCAAAATACTTTAACACAATATATTATACCTTCTCTAAAAATCTAAAAATAGCGAAACAGGTAAATTACAAAGACAATTTATTTTTTATAAAAGCTCTTCCTTGCTTGTTGTAGGTTTTATCCTATAAATATTTTAAAAGCAAATGATTTAATACATAAGATAATCTTTTGGCAATTTCCCAATTAGAAACTGACTGCTCCTAAGGACAAGAAAATAAAGGAATTTGGACTTAAGAAAGTAACAACTTAAAAATCATTTAAAATGTATACCTGATAAAGATAAAATCAGAGAAGGCTAAGGTAAAAAGCACTGGCAAAACTGAAATGGTTTAACAAGAAATTAATATTTCACAGAGCTAGCTGGAAGAGAAAGGAACTATGGGAAGGGAAAACGAAATACTGAAGAAAAATTTACAGTGGTACACACTTCCAAGGACTAAGAGCTCTTAACAACACTGACCATACACAGCAAGTAGAAAAATTTGCTCCCAGATTGTGAAACTCATAAGTGAATTATTCATTTTCATAGAGGATCTCTCAATGTATAGTGATTTATAGGTTGTTCGATTTTGGCCAACTTATACCAAACAATATGATGAATCTTCTAATAAGTTCTCCAAGCCAGACAGTCACGTAGCATCAGAAATAAAGCAAAAATTATGCTAAAGCCAAATTTATTGCCAAAGCAAGTGATTATTGGGGTGAGAATTCGTGCTTCATAGTGGGAAATATAATTTCAGCCTTCTGAGAATTCATTTCATTTCAAAAAATGAGTAAGTAGAACTTACCTTCATTACATTAAATAAAACTTCCTGTCCAAGGCTATCTTTTTCCTTAAAAAAATTATGTTCAGGGTAAGTTCTAGCAATGTCCCTTCGGATCAATTTTTCACAAGGCGAAGTCATTTTCAGGAGTTCTGAATACTGATCCTTAATTGGCATGCTTTGTGCACTGCATAAAAGTTGCCAAACTATTGCTCTAAAGTGGTGGGGTATCCCTTTACGAACAAGTTCCTAAAAATAAAAATAAAAGTAAAATTTAAAAAACGAATTATTTAAGTCTCCTACCTTGGAAGCCAAAGACGACTTATTGGGGGTTGAAGTGAAGTGGAAGACTTTATCAAATTTATAATTCCCAAAGGTACTTTTATAAAAAAGATTAGGGAATCTTATGGTTAAAGGGCTAAGATTTGGCCCTTGGGTGTATCCTGTTCTGGGGAAGCTACAATGTTATGTATACATTCTTGTCATCTCACTCAGAGTATGGCCTCAAAAGGTACTAAGAACTGCTCCTCCTCCTCCCGGAGCCCAGCGCGACGCGCCAGCCCTGCGGCCGAGCTTTTGCGCGCTGCGGTTCGGGGTTTGGGGCGCACCCGGGGAGCCGCTGGAGTCGCAGCATCCCGAGCGCCCGCTAGGACCGTGGCCACTGTGGCCGGCCTGGGAACCCCAAAGGCGAGACCTCTCGGGTCAGTTTTGAGTTCAGAGAGTGGCGGGGACCCCTCGAAGCTCNACACACACACACACCCCAGTGAACAAAATAAACACAATCTCTACCTTAAAGGAGTCTGAACTTTGTAAAGGGCGGGCGGGGGGCGGGGGGAGGGGGGAGAGACAGACAATACATTGAATAAGTCAATTAATATATGTCAGGTGGTGATGAGTGCTATGGAAATAAAACAAGGTAGAGTAACAGAATGCTGGGGAGATACACTACTATTTACATAGGTAGGTCAGGGAAAGTCCCTTGATAAGGTGACATTTGAGCAGAATACTGAAGAAAGTAAGGGAGCAACTGAGGAAACAGTCCTGGGAGAATAACACAAAGGCTTGAAATGGATTCAAGATTGGCATGCTCAAGGAACAGCAAATAGGGGACTACTAAATTAGGAGTAAAGTTAGGGTATGGAGGACAAATAATAGGGAACCAAATTACACAGGGATTTGGACTTTTACCTTATGGGACATGGGAAGCCTTTTGAAAGCTCTGAGCAGAAGTAATATTATGTAAGTGTTTTAAAAAGTTGTAAAATAAGTATTCCAAAGAATCTGTAATTGGGGCTAAAGGTACTATTTTCACATTTTATGTGTAACTCACTAGAAAATTATATCAAATAAGATAATGTAAAAGCTCTGTAAAGAGATACACAGATATTCATAACATTTAAGCAAATAATTCTTCAAAATTATTAAATCATCGTTCTTAAAATGATAAAATTTTCTAACGGTCATTCACATTATACCACTGTGTTTCAATAGAGAAAACCTCAAAGGATTTTGGTGCATTTTTCTTACAGAAGACTGCTTCTAATAACAATACATTTTTCCTGACCTTGACACAGCCATGACAGGAGCCAAGAGCTAATTCTTAGCCAAACCTGTACTTCCTTCCTTCCTCCATACATAGCCATAATTCCTATTAATCCTATCAGGCCCTACAGTCTCACTGTTTAAATCAATCACTACAAGAAGCCCAATATCCCAGAACTCTCACTCTATGTGGTTCTATTGCTCCCCTAGTCTAACCCCATTTCCAACCTTCCCAAAACCTTTTTCATGGCACTTTCTGGAACTCATAATCTGCCATCAACAAAATATTCTAACTATATCCTCAATGTCTTCATTGAACCAACGTTCTTTCACCTTCTTCCTTCCTCTAACTGAAATCTGGCTTTCCCCTAAAAATAGTTCGATACCAAAACTTTGCGCTCCCCTGAGATGGCTGTTTCTCTCCCGCAGCACTGGAAGAAGCCAGAGGGGAGAGAGGTATATGTCCCTCCTTGAACCCCACTGCCACTTCCACAGGATTAACTCCTGGTTCTCTGAAACACATGGCAGTGGACATTACCCATTACTCCTTTTCTGCAGCATCTACCAACGTCTGGGCCACCTCCACAAACTCCACTCATTTTCATGTGGATTAATTCCTTGGCCTACCCTATCTTTGGCTTGCTTTGTTCCAATGATCTTGGCAGGCAGTTACTAGCTCAGGCTCTAGAGCCATATCACCTAAGGTTTAAACGCCAGTCATAGCTATTGACTTTCAACAAATTATTTAAACTCTCTGTTGCTCAGTTTTACCATCTATCAAATGGGAAAAATAATAGTATTTATTTCACAGGGATGCAATGAAAACTAATACACTTAAAGTACTACAATGATCTGATCTTGCAGTCCTATCATATACAAACACTACCTTTTCTTGTTCCCAACTCTCCTGTGCTCACTTTGCTGTGATACGTATCCACTCACTTAAATCTACAATTACTTTTCTCTCTTTCTCAGTTATAATTCCAACTGCAAAACTCCACCCCTGAATAAATCCAACTCTACAACTACATTTAGGCAGCAGTAAGTGGCTGCGTAAGAACAAAAATACTTAACCGTGCTGGCTGGTCTCATTTTGAATTCAAGACCACTAACCTCAGTGGATCTTTAATGCTGTCTAGTATATTTTATTTCCCTAATTCAGTCACTCCCATTCTCCTAGACCATTTCAAGCTTTCTTCTCTGTCCTCAAGCTTCCAACACCTCCTCCCCACTTGTCTTTAAGCTAAGGACCTTGCTTGCTATTTCAATCTTTTTAAAAAGAGAAGCAATTAAGGAAGATTCTTCCCATTCTCACACTACATCTACCATACTACCTGCATCTGTACCCATTTTTATAGCCTCTCGTCTCTCTCTCCTACCTATCAGCCTGGACTTTTCCCTCAATTCCTATCTCATATTTCCAACTGCCCACTTAACATCTCCACTTGCATATCCAACAGACATCTCAAACCACACTCCTAATTTCCTACCCTGCCATTCCTTGCCTCAAGCTTCTGCTCAAAAACCTATGAGTCAATATTGTCTCCTTTCTCTTACTCTACATTCAATCTATCAGTACATCCTGTTGGCTCTATATTCAAAATATTTCAAGAATCAACCACTTCTCACCCTAACACCTCGTCCACAGCACCACCAAGAGAGTAGTAGTCCATTGTCTGGACAACTGCAAGGGCTTCCTCACTGGTCAGTCACTCTGCTGCCTCCCTGTACTTCCTTTCCAAAGTTTTATTCTCCATGCTACATGGCACTGCCAGAATGATTCTTTCAAATCATGATTTAGAGCATTTCACTCCACTGCTCAAAACAAAAAGTCACTCTAGTGGCGTCCCATCTCCTCAATAAAAGCCAAAATCCTTACGAGATCCTATCTGATGTGACCCATTTACTACCTTTCCAACCTCATCTCCCACCACTACATACCCCTTTCCATGTCTCCCCTGACCCCTTACTCCAGTAAAGTGGGAATGAATCAATTAATCTCCCATTTTTTGTCTTACAAAAATTTCTCCTCTTCTGATCGCATCAAAAAAAACTTCATCCCTTTCCTCTCTGCAGTAGCATTGATACGGGAACTGGAGGAGGTTTAAAAATGGTGATATTTTAAAAAATAAGTTGAAATGATTGAATAAAGGACTAAAAGGAGATATAAAAAATATTATCACTGGGTCCTACTCAATAAAATTCAAACAATGGTCACAAAGTGAAAAGGTTTAACACCAAGTAAAATATAAATATGAAGAACAATCAATCATCCGGTTGTTTTATAGTCATCCCTTTCTTTTAGAAAGAA